GATTAGCAGGGAGTTTCTCCTCTCCACCGTTTGCTCAGGATGGGAGACTGTGATGAAGTGATTCAACACAATCTGTTCTTTTTATGTAAAGTGCACTGAGACAACGTATGTTGTGAGTTGGTGCTATATAAATAAACTGAATTGAATTAACTACAAAAACACACAAAACAAGATAAAGCTGAAAGTTTTGGAAGAACAACAGTCTTAAAAATTGACAGCTAATTAGCTTAACTGGCAACAGAGGTGAGGTATAAAGAGTGTTTTAGAGACATTATTATGTCAGTGAACAACTCCTGAAAAAAGCCAGAAAGAGCTAAAGTTAAGYTGTGTTCTGACTCTAGTAAACAGCTGAACTTTGGCCCAGAGGAAACACAGGAAGTCCTTCTATTGGCCGCGGCTCTTTGGGGGTCAAACTTCCTGACCCCCCGTCAGCCGTCCGATTGTTGCTGTTTGCTTTTTCTGTTTATTATTAACGATTCATTGATCAGAGAAGTTTCTCTTCTGCTGCAGGGGAAAAATAAAAAGTAATAATGTGAAGCAGCGTCTAATGGACGGGGCGTGGGCCCGTTTTACGACCTCGTCATCACCTGAGCAGGTGAAAGAGTTCAGAGCTGATGTTTGTTTTGGAGGCTGTTGCTACGGAGCTGCAGCGAGGAGCCGGAGGAGCTCAGCAGGTAAAAGATGTTTACAGGACGGCTTGAGAAAAGAGCTTCATTAATCAGAGGTTCGGCTGATTTTTTTTTTTTTTACTTCTGCCTCGCAGCTAAAGGAAGCGCAGCTATTGTCCCTAATGGCTCTGGAATTCTCCAACATGTCCAGGACCCGAGGAGAAGAATGTTTCAGCTGTACTGGTTTAATATCAGCTGAAAGACGGAAATATTTCACCTAAATCAGCTAAATCTCTTTCATGAAGAAGCTAAACTTTGCTAAAGTAATAAACAAAAGTGCACAGAATACAAGCTAAAACYTAAATGTAGCAAACATTTAGGTGACAGGTGCAAAATGGTAGGTAGAAGCTAAAACAGCAAAAGGTTGGCTAAAGGCAAAAAACAGCTAAATGAGAGCTGAAAGTAATAAAAACAGTTAAATGAGAGCTGAAAGTAATAAAAACAGCTAAATGAGAGCTGAAAGTAATAAAAACAGCTAAATTTAGCTGAAAGTAACAAAAAGCTGCTAAATTTAGCTGAAAATAATAAAAACAGCTAAATGAGAGCTGAAAGTAATAAAAACAGCTAAATGGAAGCTGAAAGTAATAAAAACAGCTAAATGAGAGCTGAAAGTAACAAAAAACAGCTAAATGAGAGCTGAAAGTAACAAAAAACAGCTAAATTTTAGCTGAAAGTAAAAAAAAACAGTTAAATGAGAGCAGAAATTAATAAAAACAGCTAAATTTTAGCTGAAAGTAATAAAAAAACAGCTAAATGAGAGCTGAAATTAATAAAAACAGCTAAATGAGAGCTGAAATTAATAAAAACAGCTAAATTTTAGCTGAAAGTAATAAAAAACAGCTAAATGAGAGCAGAAATTAATAAAAACAGCTAAATTTTAGCTGAAAGTAATAAAAAACAGCTAAAT